CCTTTCCCTATTACCCACTCACCCAGAGTTGGGTCTACACAAAAGAGTCTGTACCGTCTATCCCTGCTGTGGATTTGTTAATTGTCTAATGACTCCCCCAAATCAGGGAGAACATTCTCTATAGCTACAATTACCCATTAATTCTGAGCAGGTAGTATAGAGACATATAAGGCAAGGTCTAGTTGTTTAGGAGAAATCACCGCACCCCAAGGCTTTCATTGTTTCCAGGAAGGTGCTACACCCTGACCTGTGCATAAATGTCCTTATCCAAGTCAGGAGGCCCCAAAGAGATCGCTAAGGTCTAGAGCCAGCCCCTAGACCCTGAGACTTCAATGAATAAGCTAAACTGCACCCTGTCCTTTCCTTCTTCCCGAAGGTTGCTCTTCAGGTGTCCTGTGCTCTTCAATAGCCCCTACTTCGCCAGCGATCTCAGAAAACCCAAACCATAAGACCTACTGACTGGGAATCGATTTTGACATCGGGTTTCTGGAGCTGTAAATTTTTATGGGAGCTGATAGCAACACCATTCTCCGAAGGAGTGGTTACTGGGTTTGAACCACTGACCTTGCACCTGAATTGAACTGGTTGCTTTAAAAAAAAAACAGATAAAAAGTCAAACTTCGTTCTTTGACCCACAGGGAGTGTCCAGATGAAATTGTCCAGATTCGTATCATGTAAATGTCTGGAATTGGGCCGGTTTGGGTTTGGGGGAAAGGTCATTCCTCAGTGGAAAGTCATTTTAAAATGGGTTGCCTGGGGGCAGGGGGGAGTAGATGAGGATGTAGTGTGCAGAGGCCAGACACTCAGATGGTGTGTGTTTTAGTTGTTCAGAAATACCACATGGAGTTGCTTTTTACAAACAGAGAATTATATTAATTACAAGCTAAGAGGCTGAAAGTCTGCATTCTGGGCATGGGCTGTAGAGAAGGCTATCTTTCTCTTAGCTCCTGGGGAAAATCCTTTCCCAGCGTCTCCAGCAGGCCATCCTTGGAGTTGTTGCATTTGCTGACTGCCTCCATTGTCTTCAAATACATAGTGTCATTCCCCCACACTGATATGGCTGTATCAATGTAACAAAGAATGCCTTACCCACAAAGGAATCACATCCACAGATACCCAGGGGAGGAATTACAACACACAGCGGAGGAGACACCCTTCAATCCCTAACAGTTTGGTCCACCGTGGAGAGAGGAAACATGGAATGGAGAACTGCTCTTCACAATGACTTTGTGTCCGTGAGTAAGTCAGAAAATACGAATGGGAAGTGTCCTGTGCTGTTGTTCCAGTGCACCTGAACATCTACATCGTATCCAGAATTTCTGAAGGTGAGTGAAATGGAAGGAGGTCAAGGACTTAGCATTTTGCCTTGCCTTGGGGGAGCAAGAGCCCACGCCGCCGAAAGGTCATTAAAATTAGAACATCACAAGGGTTACTAGGTAGGCTCCAATGGAGAATATCTCTTAGATGCTGGTGATGTCAAGGGACACCAGGGGTCCTTGGGTGGTGCATCATCTGAGAGGACAACTTGTTGGTTCTTGACAGCAAATTCTTATTAATTTCATGAAGCAGTGTTTGTGTAGGATGTGTCTAAACTTCATCTCCTCTGAGAGAAAAGAGAGCAGCCTGAGCAAGTACGTAAGGGTCATGCCTGGAAAGGGGGAATAACAGAAGGCACTGCACATGAAAGTTCCAAAGAACAAAGAAGTATGGACTGAAATAAGACAAGGACCTCCCCTCCTTCCCCCACCCCCCACAAAGCCCACACAAGGACATAGCATACTCCTAGAGACAGTGCCCTGACTGAAATTTTAGGCTGAACTTTCAGTGTGATAAAGCCACCCAGACGTGGCATTTCTGTGGTACTGCTAAGCTAGAGATTGATGGTGTGAACCAACCCAGCTGCACTGTGGAAGAAAGGCCTGGCAATCTTTTTCTATAAAGACTACAGTAAAGACAACACTATGGAGTAGTTCTGCTGTGTAACATATGGGGTATCATAGACTTCCCTATTGAAAGGGACCCTGGAAGGCACAACTACTGTCTAAAGGGGCTCAGTCCTCTCTTTGTCGGAGGACAGTAGCGTCCCAGGACTGCGCAGGAGGAATCCAGGAAAGGCCACTGGATGTGGGTACAAGGGACCACCTAACGTAAGAGTGCAGGTGTCCCATGAAGTCCCTCCCCTGCCGAAAGCTCCTGAGCCAAGGAACCAGGCAGGCTGCCGAGCCCTGGCACTGCTCTCAGCTCTGGAAGTGCCCAGGCAGAAGTACACACACACACACACACACACACACACACACACACACACACACTACCTAACAGCTCCCTGGTGTGGAGCCTTTATCTGGGCCAGAAATCTCCACTCCTGATCCAAGGTAGTCTCAGGGGAACAGAGGGAGAAATTCCAAGAGCGACCCAGAATCAAGGTCTGAATCCCGTGTGAAAAATGTCAAACCCCAACGTGAGAACTTATGAGGTCTCATACTCCCCCCACTGCACTGCACCCATCTCCACGCTTTGGCTCCGCAGTCTAGCCTTCCTCATACAGCCAACATAGGGTGTGCCTCGTTCTCACGTCTGACTCAGAGGTCTCAGGAAAGAGGGGCCCTTAGTCTGAGGGCTGGGGCTTCAGGTCAGCTGTGGACCTGGGTTCCCGAAACCGGCAGAGCCAACGTGAAGAGGTGAGTGATGACCTGTGGACTCTGTGGGCCCAGGAAAAAACTGACAAGTACTGACTGACACCCATTGATTTCTGCCATGAGGGTCTCAGGGAGATGAGGACCTTCCTTTCAGTCCCAACTCAGCAGACAAAGGCATTCCAATAGCTGGTGGGCATCGAGGTAAAAGTCTTTTAAGAGGAAAGAGAGAATAGGCCCCCTGAACTTCTTCACAAGAAGAGAGCAAGCTACACCAGAGGTCAGGCTGAGGTCCCCCTGGTCTGTTGTGGGTGTTGCTGGTCTCTGGGGATGTCAATTGCTGCAACCAATGAGGAAGCCTGTTCAGCAGAATGAAGAGATTGACTAACAGAAATCAAAGTGAGTACACCGAGTTAAAAGGAGACTCTGCCTTCCAGTAATTAGCAAAGTTATAAAGCCCCACCTCTTTTTACCTCTGGGGACCCTGAGCACTGTTGAATAGTGAGCTGAATTTACCTCCTCCCAGGCATCTCAAGAAGGTCAGAGACCTATTCTTCTCAAAGGGCAGCTCTGGTGATGACCCTGACGGAGGACTGAGTCTGTCGAAGAAGTCAGGACAGAAATCTGCCCGCCCCCTGCTATTGCCACTGAGACGTTCTGTCAGCAGTGGTGTCTGATGTGTTCACAATTTTTTTTTCCTTTTGAGTTCCAGAGGACTTTGGGGTGTCAGGGTCTGTGTGTGTGTGGTGGGGTGGAGGGTAGCCTTGGCCTTGCCAGCAGTTGATCTAAAGACTCTGAAAGTGAATGTGAAGACCCTCTACTTGCTTATCAGAGGGAATCCCCACTGGCAGCCCTGTTGTCAGTGAATTAAGTAACTAAAGCCTGACACAGAGCTGTAGCTTCTTAGGGCAGGGCCCTTGAAGAATTCTGCATTGGCAGCAGAGAGGTTGTGAAAGTCAGAGAAGTAGCTCCCTGCTGAACATCTCATCTCCCCTTCTCTACGGACCCATTTTATTTGTTGTCCTTTCACAGCCCTGCCTCCTGGTCTTCCCCCCGCCCGCCCCAACCCCCACTATTATAACCAGTTAGTGCCTGGTCTTGGCACAAGGGACTCCATTTTGAATCCGGCACCTTCTTGGTTCTCAGAACTCACCTCTCATGGGCCTCCCTCACATTGGCCTCCCCTCCCCTCGCTGAAAATCACCAGTTCTGAGAACCAGACATCCCCGAGAAAGAATGTTCTTTGAAGATATGTTTACTTCACCTGCCCCGGTACCTATAGATAAGATTAACAACCACCTCCCTGCATCCCTTGAAGATGTGTTTATTCCACCCATCCCGGACCTATAGATAAAATTAATGAGCGCTTCCCTTTGAAGTCCCTGTATGCAGCTGTGCCTGCCACCAGGGGATATAAAAACGCAGCCAGAAATTCCCCTCACGCGGCTTCACTGGCTCAATACCTGAGTTATTGAACCCGTCCGCAAGCTTCTCAATAAAGCCTGCTTCTAAAACTTTACCAATTGGATCTTTAATTCCGCTTCGCGCCCCAAAAACCCTTACAGTTAGACCTGCGCTTAGAGGCAATGGGCAAGAAGACTTGGTAAGGAGAGTTTTTTAGGCTGTGACACTTCACTTTTTTGTTCAAAAGTTTTAAAATGTATTATTACTGCTTTCTTATTTCCCCCTTTTATTGGAGGAGTAAAAGGCATACAAACAAAAAAACATGCTGTACATCATTGGATAGCCCATCACACCAGAACAGTGACACTACCTCAGTAAATCATCCTTCCCCTTATGGTTCTTTCTTCTTCTCTCCCTGCCCACCCCCTTCCCTGGCCTTCCCCTCTCCCCCTCACCATTGCCTCCATCCTCATCATGTTGTGTCCTTGCTGTGAGGTGCCATCAAGTCTGCTTCTACCCTTAAGGACCCTATGCACAGGGAATGAGACTGCCTGGTGGTGTAGTAGTTACACATTGGACTGCAAGCCGCAAGGTCTGCAGTTCAAATCCACCAGGCGCTCCGTGGGAAAAAGACTGAGATTCTGAACTTTTGCTACCCTGTCCTATAGGGTCACCATGAGTGAACATCAACTTAATGGCAATGAGTTCTGTTTCCTTTTGCAGTAATATTAATATTTTCACTATAATAGATTCTTCTTAATATAGAGACATTCTTTCATTTATGTAAGTTTCTTCAAGTTCCTTGTAGAAATGTTTTATAGTTTTCTTTGTATAAATCTTTTCTTTCTCTGGTAAATTTTATTTCTAAGTCGCATTTATTTTGGGTACTTATTGTAAGTGGCATTGTTCTTTGAATTTCCAATTCAGATCTCTTTTCTTATCTATACAACAATCTAATAGATATTTGCCTGTTGATCTTCCAGCATGTTATCGAGCTAAATTAAAATATTTTTTTATTGAGTCTTTGGGGTTTTCCATAGATAGGATTGTGTCATTTGCAGGTAAAGAGAGTTTTGCTTCTTTATCAAGTTGAATGTCTTAATTTTTTTATTTCTTTCAGCTCTACTTCAGGCTTCCTGTCTGCCCTTCCTGAAGAGTGCCATCATGCCTCTCAGCCAAAAGATCAAATTCTCCTCTCTTGAGAAATCTGGTCCGGGCCTAGGGGGTAACCATAGTGTCGAGCATGCCCAGGCCCCTGCAGCTGAAGAGGAAAGGCCTTCCACTTCTTCTTCCTCTCCTCCTTCTGAGGAATCTCCCCAGAGCTTCCCTGATGTGCATGTCCCAGGGTTACCACAGACATCCCTGCCCACCACTGTGCCTACAGAAGATGCCTCCAGTGCAAGCACTGCTGAAGATTCCCAGACTAAAGATGAGGGAAATGCAAGTGCTCCTGAGGCTGCTGCGACTCCTGCTCAGAATCCCCAGAGAGATCCCCTAGTCCGGAGGCTGAGCATATTGGTGCAGTTCCTGCTGCACAAGTATACAATTAAAGAGCCCATTTCAAAGGCAGAAATTATGAAGATCATCAGCACAACGTACAAGGAGCATTACCCTGAGATGCTGAGGAGAGCCTCTGAGCACATGGAGATGATCTTTGGACTTGAGATGAAGGAAGTTGACTCTAAATGTCAATCATATGTTTTGACTAACATTTTAGAGATCACCAGGGAAGAGAATCTGAATGGCAGCAGGGGGTTTCCCAAGATAGGCATCCTCCTGCCTATTCTGGGGATGACTTACAGGAATGGCTACCAGGTCACAGAGCAGAAGATGTGGGAATTCCTGAATGCACTAGGGATCTTTGATGGGAAGAGGCACTTTCTTTTGGGAGAGCCTAGGAAACTCATCACCAAAGATTTGGTGTGGGAAAAGTACCTGGAGTACCGGCAGGTGCCTAACAGTGATCCCCCAGAGTATGAATTCCTGTGGGGTCCCAGAGCCTATACTGAAGCCAGTAAAAAAAAGGTGCTGGAGTTCTTGGTCAAGATCAATAATATCGACACTCATGCTTTTCGTGTACTCTATGAAGAAACTTGGGGGCATGAAGAGAGATCAGCAACCACTCTGTGGGCTGGGGTAGGGTTTAATGCCAGGGCAAGGCCAGTTTCAGGGCCCAATCCAGCAAGGCCTCCCACCCCTCGTGAAGGCTAACAGAGATGCATCACTTTGTTATTAAAAATGGCGGTTCACATATTAAATAGTGGGGCTGCAAAGGGGCTTTACCTCCACCTCCCAGGCACAAGTAGCATATAGAGTGCACTCTGAGGGGTTTTTCTTTGAAATTTGTAATGTCGTGCTTTTTTACTGAATCTTAATTTAGACTCCGAAGCCACACAACTGTTTTTAAAGTACAGAAAGGATATTTAATTTCTTTGACAAAAGACAATTTTGGCTTTTCAGTCAGAAAAACAGGAACAAATGTATAAGGTTGGGTGTGGGTTCAGAGAAAGGGTCTCCTCAGAAATGGTAAAGAAGTCCACAGTCAATAGCTTAGGGACATGACAGAGGGTAAGAATGTTGGAAGTGACAGATTCTTGGCCTCCCTGATTTCTTTTGTTCAAATGAAAGATGATTGTATTTGCTTAGTTCATTAAACAATGTTGGAAAAAAATAAAAGATGATATATACATCTTGTTCCATGACCCTTGTTTTCCACAAACAGTTCCTCAGAATCTACATTTGGAATGTTTCATGCTGGTATTGGGAACTTTAGGAGAAAGATGGTCCATCCATTTGTCCAACATCTGTCTTAACAGCAATGATGAAATGAGGAAGCCACTGAGTTCTTCAAGACTTGAGCTAGGAAGAAATAAACTCACTTCTGGGTTCCCTCTATGGTAATGTCCCTGGGCCAGGTCACTTTGAGTCCTTGAGACACTTAGATCTCTGAGTAGAAGGCCAAATTACAGCAGGCTGCTTGGGCTGGAAAGGGTAGGAGTTTGCCTGTAGTGGGAATAGAGGAGAGTGCACTGGGGTGTGCACAACCAGACATTCATTCTCAATCTGTGCTCTAGTATCCAGGCTCAATCTGCAAGGGAGACTGATGCTTAGTCCATGCTCCGGGGTGGTGAGTAAACCAGAGAGCCATCCCCTCCTGCGGCAGGACTGCGACACCCTTTCCCAGTGCACGTAGAACCATGCACAGATTCTGTGTTCTATTCCGATCACATACAGGATGTTTCTCAGAGATGGGGTGAAACTCCCTGGATATGAGTGTGGTGTCTAGGCGCCAAGGCTCTGGCACTCTCTCAGGGAATGGGGGTTAAAACGCCCACTCCATACACAAGACATTAGAATTAGAATATTTGGACTGACATTTAACATACTCCAAGTGAAGACTCGACTTTCTTCCCTGGTGATAATGAACGGAAACTGGGGTGACAAGAGTGGAATGGGGTAGATGGACCTTGTCATTAATTCTTGGAGCCATGTGTTGAATTAAACTACGGCAGTCTACCCTGGCCCACAGTCAGTAGTTCACCTATTACTATGAACTGAATATTGCTCCCCTTCCCCACCCCACCCGCATCGCTACACACTTCTTCCAAATAAGATGTGCTCTCAAGCCTCACACTATACCCATGGCTATAATGCTCACTGGGCCCAGGTTTTCATTGTTGACTTAATTGATTGGGGATAATACAGTGGGTGCCTAAAGTTCATTTTAGTGAGATAAAAAGGAACCTACTGTGTTAATCTGGGTTGACTAGAAAAACAAATCAAGGGAGACTCATATGTGTGTATGAGAGTTTTATATCAAAGAGTAATTGTATATAAAGTAAACATCCCAGCCCAGTCTAAATCAAGTCCATAAGTCCAATAGTAGCCCTTATGTCTGATACCAGTGTATAAATTCCTCTCGAGACCCAGGAAACACATGCAATGACCCCAAGTGTAGGAAGATCACAGGGCAGTGGATGGAAACTCTTGTGGATCCAGTGGCTGTGGAAAGACCTCAGTGCTGACATGGGTCTCCACGTGTCTCCCCCGACTCCAGGGCTCTGGCTCCATCAGTGTAGCTCCATCTGGATTGTCCACAGGAAAGTAAAGCAGAGAGAGTGTGTCTGTGTCCTGCTTCCAGGGAGGAAGTCAGGAGTTCTCAGAATCCTCAGGAGAAGGCTGTGCCCACACAGAGGCGTTATTGCTATGGCCTGATCGACAGGCTAGATTTGACTCCTTCACTCAGGTTGGCAGGAGATTATGAAACTTCCAGGCTCACTGAGCAAGTACCCAAGGTTCATGCTGGGCCAAGGGGGATATTAGAAGGCGTAGCACATGGGAGATCTATGCAAACAATAAGTAGTGGCTCACATAAGCATAAGGCTAGAGGCCCTTGTGTAAGAAGAAGCAGACTACTACTATCCAAAGCCTGTCAATGAGGATGTTATTGGGGGTCTCCAGTGGCCTACTAATGGGCTTTGGGTCTCCATGCCGCACTCCCCCCATCATTCACCATGGTAAGATTTTTTGTTCGGATGATGCCTTATACCTGATCCGTTGGACACCTCGTGATCACACAGGCTG